CATGGTGGATTTAATAGAAGCTTTATAGAACAAACTCTGGACGGTGTGAGGTGAGTTTGTCTCACTGCAGAAAAAAAAACACACACACACACACACGGAGCGTCAGCAGTCAAACACGTGAGCGTCAGAAGGCTGAACAATAACCTGTAGAATAATTAAAGTCATCTTGCTAGAGAAGTTTCTCTGTGGTGGACCACACCAGCTTCTGCCACAATAAATAATAATAATAATAATAATAATAATAATAATAAATAACACAACGTTGTGAACATTTTAATTTCCTTGCTGAACTATTTCTTTTGAAAGTTTTAACATTTATAATCTGTTAGGTTGTTACTGACAGCAGCTACATTTAAGTTTCACTTTCTGTTCTGACTGAACGCTGCTGCAGCATGGAGGTGTAGTTCTCAGTCATCCTGGACATGATCATCCTGAGAGTTTTAGCTGAAAACAGCTGGACGTTTCTGGATATGTTGGAGACATTTAGCCTCTCATCCCAGAGGCTGCTTCCAGACTTTGGTTGTGGTCAGACACAAACACACTGGTTGTGCTGCAAGTCTTTTTCTTTTTTTCTCCAAAGCATGTTTCTGTCTAAATGAAGGTGATGTTATTGTGTTGAAGTTAAGATTAGTTCATCAAGTAGGACCTGTGGTTAGCTGGCTCATGTAAAGCATGTCATGTCTTCAAAGAATCAGAATCGGGAATCGATAGGAACTGGAATCGAAACGAGGAATTGGAATCGGAATCGTTCAAAATCAAACGATGCCCAACCCTACTCCTGGATGCCTCCCTGGTGAGGTTTTCCAGGCATGTCCAACCAGGAAGAGAGCCATAGGAAGACTCAGGACATGCAAGAGGGACTATGTCTCTCAGCTGGCCAGGGAACGCCTTTGGATTCTCCCCGAGAAGCTGGTCCAAGTGGCTGGGGAGAGGTGAAGTCTGGGCCTCCCTGCTTAGACTGCTGCCTCCACAACCCAACCCCCGATAAGCAGACAACAATTGATGGATGAAGTAAAGCCAACAATAATGAGACAATGTAGCTAACCGTTTACCATAACGCAAAATATGCAGTTTTGCAAAGGACATGAACCTAAGAAGCCATTATGATGGTGGGAAGATTGCAGGTTCATATTCCAACTATGACCCTATGCTGCACCATGTTTGAATGTTCTTCCAACACCTGCCAGACCAAAAACATCTGTGTCAGTCTAATTGGAGATTTAAGTCCTTAGGTGTGAGTGTGTGAATGGCTGTCTCTTTGTGTCCCTGTGATAGACTGACCTACTGTCCAGGGTGTCCCTCACCTGTCCCTGTGGACTGCTGGGGATAAGCACCAGCTTCGTCTGACCATTCTGAGGAATAGGTGGTTAAAAAAATAAGAGAATGAGGGGTGGAGAAGCTAAAATAGACCTATTTCATGGCAGACATCCTGACTCAGGATGTCAAATGTAAATTTAAAAAGGGAAACATTCCATTCCAATAAAGATATTCTGTTTGTAAGCTTTTTTTCCAGAACTAACATGCACAGCTGCATGCAAGGAATGCAGCCCTCATTAATACACCTATGCCCTACGTACTTTTTCTAATTTAAAACATTTCTTCATGAAATAGGCCTGCTGTCCTACAGTTATCCTGAGCATAGGACTTCATCACTGGCAGGACTAAGAACAGATTATGTATCATGAATTTTAATGTGAAGTGCTAAGTTTATTAATATGTGGATGCTACTGTATCTAACACGTTTGTTGTTGTATTACAATATAGATGTTCAAGATGAAGGAGAGAGTATGTGAGATGTAATGAGATGGAACACATCATGATGAGCTGACTGTAATACTCTCATCCTCCCTATCATCACCCAGTGGGAGAGGGTGCTGGAAGCTTACGCAGCCAAAATAGAGTGTGGGCTTGTTGGTGAAAATCATTGCAAATGGTGAAGAAAAACAGATTGTTATAAGAATTGCATTATAAAAAAAATTAACCATCTGGAGTCTAATTTACACATCACTTGGAAGTTGAGATAAAATCCTTTTAACATAATTAATGGTATGGTGAGGTCATACGTGAAGCACTTTTATTTAGCAAAACCAGAGCTGCCAACTCTCACGCACTGAGAGTGAGACAAGCATTTGACCCTCTTCACACTCTCTCACGCCACACCTCCAATCTCTCATGCTAAACCAGAGCCTGCGCTCCCCAAACGCGCATCACGCACACTTTATGAAAAAAAAAACTGCTTATATTAATTATAGCATTAGCTACTGAACAACATGCACACAAACAGCACTTAAGTAATAATTTATCTGGCATAATTTCACACAGAATCCCATCTGTATAATCCAAGCCAATGTGCTTTTTCCCACCCTGGTTGTGAGATGGGCGAAGCGGTGAGCTCCACCTGCTGTTGATGGGACGGGCATGCCTGGTTCTCCCAGAACCGTGAGCTGCGGCTGCGTGCACCCCCTAAATGACATACTTTATTCAGAAATGCAGCTGCTTCACCAGCCGTGATGAGATCCTGAGGCCCATTGTTGTGCCGTACATCCATGAACATCACCTGAAGTTTCAGCAAGATAATGGACGACCCCATGTTGCAAGGATCTGTACACAATTCTTGGAAGCTGAAAATGTCCCAGTTCTTGCATCGCCAGCATACTCACCGGACATGTCACCCGTTGAGCATGTTTGGGATGTGCTTGACCGACGTATACGACAGTGTGTACCAGTTCCCACTAATATCCAACAACTTTGCACAGCCATTAAAGAAGAGTAGACCAACATTCCACAGGCCACAATTGACAATCTGATAAACGCTATGCGAAGAAGATGTGTTGCACTGCATGAGGCAAATGGTGGTCACACCAGATACTGACAGGTTCTGAGTCCCCAGACCCCCAATAAAGCAAAAAAACTGCACATTCCAGGGTGGCCTTTTATTGTGGGCAGTATAAGGTACACCTGTGCACTACTCATGATGTCAGATCAGCATCTTGATCTGGCACACCTGAGAGATGGGATGGATTATCTCAGCAAAACACAGGTGCTCACTATCACACATTTAGACTGATTTGTGAACAATGTTTGAGAGAAATAATAATATTGTGTATCTGGAATGAATTTTAGATCTTTAAGTCCATCTCATGAAAAATCGGAGCAGAAACAAAGGTATTGTGTTTATATTTGTGTTGAATATATATATATATATATATATATATATATATATATATATATATATATATACACACACACACACACATATGTGTGTGTTGGTCTTTTTAGGATTAAAAGGGAGTAAAATCAAAAACAATTGTATGTGTTTAAATTATTAATTGGTATGATTAAAATGGCCCAAATTGCTTTAATATGTAAAATAAATTCCAAAAGTATAAATAAAGCGACATTAAGACAGATATGGTGTGGTGATCCAAACAGTTCTGTTATAGGATAAACCTCAGACCTCCTGCTCTCCTCATTCTAAAACATTTTCCTAAAAAGCTGTTTTTTTTTTTACACCTGATAGTTTCTCAACTTCTCTGTCGTGTTTTTTCTCCATCGTGATAATAATGGTACACTGAGCAAAAGGGAGCGGGTGTCTCTTGGTGTAACGATCCCTGTGTCACTGAAGGAAATTCAGATGAGCCACAGAGCTGCGTGTGTAAACGGGATCGTAGTTGAAACTCCCGTTGACTTTATTTGCCAAATGCAGGAAAAGCCAAAGTGTCTGACAGCTGCAGAACCAGAGATCGCAGGTTGACTCCTGCGCCGTCTCTAGTAGAAGCGTGTCTGCAGCAGCAGCAGCAGGCGTAAATCGGCGGTCTCCTGCTCTGCAGATGTACCTTTGTCTTCGGCCCGGCCGAAAACGGTTTATGATTGGTCAGTCCTCATGAACATGTGCAGATTCTCATTCTCTTTCCTTACTCCCGGAAGAACGGTTCAGAGTGCAAACGGTTTCTTTGTTGCTAATCTGCAGGGAATATCTACAAGAAAGTTCTACAGAAAGTAGCAAAGGTTCCTAAATAATGTGGCTAGGTTTGTCGCTAGATGCTTTTTGGAAAAAAAGTCGTTGATGGGGGGTCAAAAAGTCGTTAGGAACAGCGACTAAGTTGCTGAGTTGGCAACACTGTACACAGATGATATAAAAAAGATTGTAACCATGATGTCTCACTTTGATCCGCTTTCTAAACCCAAAACATTTGAACCTTTTTAAGACTACTTTACTTAACTTTTGAATCTAACTCATTCTCGACATGAACTTGATAATTATCTTTGGCCAAAAGACAGATTTTGTCAGGATTATCTCAGGGAGAATGAGACTCAGATGCTGTTGGAGACAAGTCAAATGTGGACACTTTTATTATTACTCACTTAAATTAAAGTAGTTTTCATTTTGCACATATATGTACAGTTTAGACATACGTGATAGAAGATAGGTGATCTAGTTTTTCCTTTTTTCATGATGTGCCGTTCACCCCATATGTCAGTATCGGTTTATGTTGGTATCGGAAATTAAGAGTTGGACATTATCGGATATTGGTAAGAAAGCCAATGTGGAGCATCACTACGGAGAGTCGGTTGTTCACGAATGAGGAAAAGATGGAGCGGGAGATCAATAGGCATTTTGGTGCTGCGTGTGCAGTGATTTGGGTGTGGTGAACAGACAGGTGTGCCAAAAAGCTATGTTGTATGGCAGGTCAAAGAAAAAACATTGAATTTGATGTAATGAGAATATTAAAACATTTTAAACGCTATGTTTTTGACAAAATTGCACTGGATTGAAAATGGGGAAGGAAATAACATTAATAATTACAATAGATGACTTGAGATGCACAAATACATTTTTCTCATAATTTAAACAAATGTTCTGGCATTAAACCACCTTAGTAGGATAAATGTAGCAATGGTGATAATGGTGGTGGTGGTTTTGTGTCTAAATCTGGGGGGAGAAAATCCCACTAGGTTTGATAACCATAGCGCTCTCCCCTCTTCCTCTCTCCCCTCAGGCTCTATGACGCGACAAGAGTTCCCCTCGACACTCTTGCACTATGGAGAGCATTGATGACCCCATGACAGACAGCCAAAATCCACCTACCAACACCACCACCATCACAGCAGCTCCACCCATACCCTGGTGCAACAAAGCCAGGAAGCATCAAAAGCAGCGACAGAGAAACAAGAGCCTCACTGAGGCATCAAGGTACATCAGAAAGCCTCAGATCAACCCCCCTCCCAGAAATCCCTCATGTTCTGAAAGGAAAACATGGTTTCAAATGATATTATATGATTTTTTTTTTTACTTTCCATAATACAAGCACTTTATCCTTCAGCTTAAGTGAAAGCATGGAATCTCAAGCACAACTGACATGTGTTTGGCTGATTATGGCTCAGTCATTTTGCCATAAGCCCTTATTTTCCCTTGTGTATGTTTATCCACCAAAAATCCATGTGCACAGCAGAACCAATAAAAAACCTGTTGTTTTGTATTTCCAGCTTGCTTTTCACTAACTTTTATTGGCACACCTTATATTTTGTCTTCAAAGTACTGTGTCAGATAGCATCTGTGCGCACAAATAAAGCAAGGCGCCAGGCAGACTCCAATATTAATACATGTGACTGGGAAATAGAGAGTAGCCGTGTAGTAAATTTAACGTGCAACGCAATAAAAGGGATGAGGCCAAAGCCATAAAGATGCCTGCTATTATAGTTTTTGAAAACCAGGCTCTACTGTTGGTCAATACTGTCAACATTTATGGCCCATGTTATAATTTGCTTTTGGAGGAAGCTCTGATCCTTCTGCTTTTTAGTCCAGACAGCAAGTCTGCAGCAGATCTCTGACTATAGATATAAATACTGGGTTGAAATCATGTTGTGAATGTGGACAGTCTACAAAAGTAATTCTATTTCTACAGAGAAGAAGACATCTGACTGGGTTCCAACTTCAATCCCCTAAAAGCTTAAAAAAAAAAGAAAAATCACATCATATCTGATAAATGCAACAAAAATATGTTAGATCTATATATTCAGTAAAATGTTTGCAGCAAATCGGTGACATTTTCCATTCATGGCGGTGCTCCACCATGACTTAATCTGCTCTGTTTTCTTTGAGCAGTGGATTCTGATCTTATTGTAGGGTGTAGATAAGGAAATCGGTTTACTTTGATGTTTGTTGGAAAAGAACTATGAGAGGGCTGATTATGACAACATGCCACATTAGCTTTGAACTCACTCCTAATTTAAAAAAAGGGTCTACAGTCAGGAGGCCTGTGTGTTTGTGGATTTTGATCTCAGCATCCACTCCTGGCATTATCCAGCTTCACAGCAAGTAATGGGTGATTTCCTGTCTCTTATTAATACGTGAATCATCCCTAACCTACTGCTTCTCCTATGGATATTCATCTAAGAGGCTATTGTGCAGCTTGTGCATTGGTCTAAAACATCTGCATGAAGCATTAAAAATAAAAATGGGGGCTGATGCACATTTGTAAGACTTTAGTCCAATTGCCTGACTTTTTTATGAAATCATTTTATTGCATATGCTTGTATTAATAATGGCTACCTGGAATGAATTCATTAGATAGCCATTGGAGACCTGATGTTTTCATGCACGTCCATTCACACATTCACCATGCATCTCAGTGATGTGACATTTTGAATGGAGTCAGAAAGAGTTCACACAGAGGAAATGTCAAGCCACAGCCACAAGTTTGCATGCATCCACTTGCCCACATTGCTGCAAGTGACTCCTTATGTTATGGGAGTTTGGTTTTATTTTGCTTGGAGAGAAGAGTATCTGCACGCACCTTCACTTGAATGTTTGTGAGTGATGTAGATGAAGGGCGGTGAAATTTCTTTTTTTTCCCCCCATTTCCTGACTGGCTGTAAAGCAAACAGAATTGATGTCTGAATGCTGGTGACAAGCCTTACAGATTTACTCTCAGGTGGAGCATCAAAGCTTCTGCTTTAATGTTACGCCTGATACTTAAAACTTTATTGTTATTGTTTTTGGATGCTTTATAATTCCGACCAGACACGGAGATAGAGTTGAAAGAGAAAGGAAGAGACAAGTGTCTGCAAGTGTGTGTGCGTGCGTATGTGTGTGTGTGTGTGTGTGTGTGTGTGGGGGGGGGGGGGGGGCACAAAAATAAACAATCAATGATGAACAAGAGTCTGATTCTAGACCTAGAAAAAAATTAAATAAAAAAGGGGACGCACAACAATACAACTAGAGCAAGCTATCACTGCGCCAACCTGATGAGGAAATCAATCAAATCAGATCAAAGATACTTTATTAATCCCAGAGGGAAATTAGAGTTTAAGTACACACAATTCAGAGATCAGACATACATAGGCAAAGACACATGACAAGAATTGGTGACTGTGGTTATTCGCAACCCTGAGTCGCGCTACCTTAATAGAGATAAGAGAGTTACATGAGGATTGGTTCAGGTGGAGGGAAAAAAAGGCACTTCAGAGTTACCCTCTGGGGTGGTGGGTTGAGATTATCCCCACTTCAGTTCCTGCAGCCACGATAAGCAGCGCATGTCACCTCAGAGTGTATAGGGGGAGGAGCATTGAGGGTTGGAGGGTTGCATTGACCCTGGAACAATTCCCGCAGTCCTGCCCAGGCTGGGAATGGAGACAGAGCTGAGTTGCCGGCACATTCCACATATCTTCTGAGGGGGGAATTTTCGTTGGAGCCTTGCTGGCTCAAGGGTGCCAGGGTGTGTTTACTGAACAATCACACGATAATAAATCAAAGTGCATTTAGTGCCAACCACGGCCTTAAGACGTGTTGAACGTGCCGAAGTCCATACTTATGAGAGCACCATGTGAGCACCTGTGTGTGTACATGCGCTTGTTTATGTAAGGTTTCTCTGTAGGAGCGCCCAATAGAGTGTGAGGGGCCAAAGATCTGCCCCCCCCCCCACCCCCCCACCCCCAAAGATGTGTAGGAGATGAAGGGAGCTCCAAGTCCCAGAGATTCAGGAGTTGCCCCAGAGCGCAGGGACCCCAGGGAGACTGTAATCAGAAGAGCCCCTGCCCCCCTCGAGAGGCGCAGAGGATTGCCCCGGGGGTCACAACCAACAGCCGGCAGAGCCCCGGGAGATATCAGCGGCAAGCCCACAGGCCCACCCACAACCTCCCACCCCCAAACCGGCCGAGCCCGGAACCCAGCGACCCGGGACCCTAGGGGCGACCAGCCCCGCCGGAGACCCAACAGAGCCCAGGGACTCAGATCCCACCAGGCAGCCACTGGGATCAATCAGGCAGACTCCCAAAATCTTAACCCCGTGACCCAGGAGCCGCGAACACTCAGGCAGACCAAGGCACCACACTCCACACCAACTGTGGCAGGGGGAGGATAGGCGAAGATGTGTAGTAGCACAAGAAGTCCCAGGAGAGGGGAGAAGTCCAAGACCCCACCTGACATATGCAGTCATGCATAAACAAAGTCACACAATCCCTCCCTCATGCTCACACATACAACCTAAAGCCTGGTTTATGCTTCTCCGTCAGCTCCGCAAGGGACAGACACGCATGGATTGACGGAAGCGTTTTACTTTCATACTTCTCCGTCTCCTGGAGAGTGTTGCAAAGCAATTGCCCGGCAGGACAACAGAGGGCGTAGCGCTGTTCTGTGGTATCCTGTCATGTATCGGTCCAAGATAGTGTGTTTATATTGTGTTTTTTGTATATAAGAGACTTTTAACACGGACATATTTGTCTCTCATTCTTCCACCTCTTCATGCGCTCCCCACCTCTAAACCCACGTTTCTTGTCATTTCCGTCCACAAATAAAACGCTTGCTGCGCATCTTTTCACTCTTCCAGTCACGGGAGAATTAAACGTTCATATTTTTAGAGTTTTTTCGCGAGGTATTCTTCAAGCTGCTCCGTGTTTGCCGCTAGTTATCCTGGGCTCTCTTTGCAATGGCGGCGTTGTAAACAACAGCGGCGTCCTGACCAATCACAAGCTTGCGTAATCCGTCTCGTTCGACGGATGTTTAAAAAAGTGGGCTCGACTCCGTACGTACTTGCGTGCCTGCCGGAGCCCTACACAAGGACGGATAAAGGCGTTGTGTGTCTCCGCACTGACGCAGACGGAGAAGCATAAATCAGGCTTAAGACTTACAAAAATGACTGCTGGACACACACTCACGCTCCCCATACACACCATTCACTCTGGTCCCTGGTGGTGAAAATTCTCCTACATCCATCAGAGCCTTGATGCTCTCCCTAAAGATGAGAAGGTCTATGTAACATGGAGCTGAATGTTATGTTTCCCTTGACCTTGAGCTAATGCTTTGGGGTGACTATCGATATGCATCGAGAAAATTGTCCGCCTGCTTCATGACAGGAAACGCCTGAGCAAATTACACATTACCACAGATGAGTTCTGTCAGTGGCATTACCTTCTGTTACTATCACACATCCAGCAGTTCTAAAGACTTATCTGACACATTTTCTTTAGATGCCTCATGTTGTCTTGGTTTAAAGTGTATCACTAAAGAATCAAAGCCAAAAGAAAGTATGTTAGCGCTTTTTTTAAGCAAAGAGAGATTTTTATTGAGCTTTAAAAAATTATTTATGTGGAAGGAACTGGTTATTGTGTTACAAATAAATACTTTTAATAAGTAAAACATCTATAGTTAAAATCCTCAACACTTTGGTGGCCCACATCACTGTTAGGCTGCTGTTAATTTTTCATCAGAAGATTGAGGTGAACACATTTTGTAGCGCGAGATGGAAAACGAAAACAAAGCATAGTTTCCCGTTCTCACAATGAACAATAATTCATCAATTTTCTGAGAAACAGACTATCTTTCCCAGACACTAAATGGTTCCAGTTGGTAACCTATCTGCAATGTGACACTGCCAGCCTTTGTACTACTCTTTTGAGATTAAGTTAGATGGAGACACAAAATTGGTTAAACCACCACCACAAAAAGTTGAAATGTTGCTTTCTTATTGAGGTGAGTTCTGAGGAGGACGAGGTTAGTAAATGTTAAGGTGGCATGAGGATTGGATGGAGTGTGACATGGTTTGGAAAGCTTCATTGGCTGTAAAGGTCCATTCTAATCTATGATGAGGTTGGCTTCTACAACCCATGGTCATTAGATTTTGGTCAGAACCAAAAAAATTAGATTCTTGACTCAAGCAGACTTAAGTTCTTCACTGAGTGACTGGCCTCAGTCTT